GAAATAACCCAATTGAGTTACAAAAACATCATTGGGAATATCCTAATAGGCCTTTCGAAAGAGTGCATATAGATTTTGCAGGTAAATTCCTTAATAAATATTTTCTTTTAGTGATTGATGCTTATTCTAAATGGCCTGAGATTTATATATTAGATAGGTTAGATACAGATAGCACTATTAGAGTTTTGGATGACATTTTCAGTAGATTCGGTTTCCCTAAAACTTTGGTCAGTGATAATGGATCACAATTTGTGAACCCTAAATTTTGTTCATATTTAAAACTACATGGTATTCAACACAAAAGATCTGCACCCTATCACCCTGCTACTAATGGACAAGCAGAGCGATACGTCCAAACGTTAAAAACTAAATTAAAAGCATTAGGTGCAAATGGTAGTAATATTCAACAGAAATTAAATACTCTTCTACATCAATATAGAATAACACCAAATTTAACCACTCAAAAATCTCCTGCTGAACTTATTTTTAATTATAGGATACGATCTAAGTTGTCAGTAATGATACCAGATTTACCAAACATTACTCATGTAGAGAAAAACCCTAAAGCTAGATATGTAAACATAGGAGATAGGGTTATAGTGAGAAATTATTTAGGTAAGGCAAAATGGAAGTTTGGTGTTGTAGTCCAGCAGATAGGGAAGCTACATTATGAAATTAAAATAGATTCTGGTGAAAAATGGCGCAGACACATAAACCAAATATGTAAAGTTGGTCAAGAAATACCGCAACAGATATCTAGATGTAATAGTTTGGATAAATTAGATGTGCCACAGTCATGCTCTCCCATTATTTATCCAAGTGAAAAGTTGATGCAAACCACGAACAAAATAAATGAGACTCCTCTCTTGGATAAAAATAATGCTGATTTAGAGACAAATGTATCAATAATTAAAAATAATGATATAAAAACTAATGGAAGTGATGATTGTAATGGAAATTTAAAAAATAATGTCGGTTCTACTAATAATGATTGTTTAATTAATAATGATAGCTATATAAGTAATGATTGTACTAAGGATAATTTAGATATACCAAGGGAATCAGAAAGCTCTCTAAGAAGGAGTACTAGGGTAAGAAAGAAAGTGGAACGATTGAATTTGTAATAGTTTATTTTGTTAAAGGGGGAAAATTGTTACATGTGTATTACCACCTTTAATACCATGATAGTGTGTCCTGTGCTTTATTCTATGACTGGAAAATATATTCTTAATCTGTACTATGAGAAAAACGAAAAAATGTAATTCTGTTGATTGTGCTCTTATTAATAAAAATGTGATTAAACATTTAATACGAGTTTTACTGTGGAAGATCTCAACACAAGCACAGTTGATCAGGCGTGAAATAACGCCGCACCTTATTCAGGACTCCGAGTTTGCGTGAAGCTGTTTTGATCACGGTTTGTATGTAGCCCTTTGGATTCAGGTGTAGGCATACTTCCATACCGACCATAGTGATGTTGCTCTATAGCGCCAGTACCAGGCCACTCAGAATATTTTGCGAAAAATAGTATTCATGTATAAGACACTGGTGTCGATTCTAGCATGATTCTCTAAATCTAAACTTAAATTTGACAGCAGTATATCCTTGTCATTCTCTATACAGAATGATAAGGAGAGACTGATGTTAAATTTAGTTTTAAGTTTAGAGAATCACGCCAAAATTGGCACCATTGGCCACTTATAATCATTTTGAAAACTTCGATTGTCTAAAAGTAAAAATACCCGTTCGATTTTCAAATTTCCCTCCGCTTTTTTTCGTGAACCAATAAAATTTTACTTGTCTCATTAAAAAATGGATCTGCATCTAGAACATTTTCGTGCTATGATTTTTAACGATTTTAAATGTGGCTTAAAACCTGATGAGTCATTTGATCGATTTCGAACTGCTTTTATAGACGAAGGACCTTCAAAAGCAACCATCTACCGCTGGTGCAGCGAGTTCAAATGCGGTCGTCTTACTTTGGGGGATGAACAAAGGAGTGGTCGTCCTACGACGGCTGTCACCCAAGAAAGTGTGCAGGCAGTAAAAAATTTTATTCAAGGAAACAGACGAATTACTGCATATTTGTTCAGGAAGGGTTCACAAGATTTTGCACGAGTTCCTTTGCGTAAGGAGGATAGTTTCCCGCTGGGTACCGCACAACCTCACCGATGCTCAGAAGCAGGCGCGTGTGGATTGGTGCAGTGATATGATACAAAAATTTTATGCAGGCTCATCACGGCGCGATTACGATATTGTGACAGGTGACAAATCCTAGATTTATCCATACAATCCAGAAACAAAGCGTCAGTCGACAGTTTGGCTGTTTCAAAATGAACCGACGCCTACGAAAGTGAAGCGATCGAGGAGCGCAGAGAAAATTTTGATCGCTAGTTTCTTCACTTTGACGGGGTACCTAATTTCAATTCCACTTCGAGACCAAAGCAGTATCAACGCCAAATGGTATAGCATAATAGCCTGCCAGACGTTTTTTCTGCAATGGGCAACAAGCGACCTAACATGGGGCTCCGCGGGGTCCTTCGACAACGCGCCCGCGCACTCTGCGATCAAAACGAAGGATTTCCTGGACTCCACACCAGGCAGTCTTGGGACACCCTCCTTACAGCCCTGATTTGGCTCCGTGTGACTTCTTTTTATTCCCTAAAATAAAAAAAATCTGCTCAAAGGGATACAGTTTTCATCGCCGGAAGAAGCGCTAGCAGCGTTTGAGAAGGCCGTGGAAGTGATGTCTGCGGAGGACTAGAAAATATGTTTTGATAATTGGTTCAAACGCATGAAACTTTGTATAGAGGCTGGTGGAGAGTTCTTTGAAAAGATTTAATTTTTTTTTTCATAGAAGTTAGTTTTTTAGTTACTCAAACCTTTCTGAGTGTCCCACGTATTGTGCCCTGAAGAGCGGGAAGGGGAATGGAATGGCGATGTTTTTGCCGTGAAAGCGTAAATCTGGGTTTTCTTGGCATTGAACTCAACCAAGTAACCCATTCGAAAATGCCTGATTGAGTTCAGCGACAAGATTCTTCCGTTTATACTTGGTTTCTACCTATCCAACCACTGCGTGTCCAAAGTAGCACTGTACTATCGTCTGCATTGCAATGAATATTCCCAAAAGGAATCAAAACATTAATATGCAGCAGAAAGAGTGTAGGGGATAGAACGGAGCCCTGAGGAACACCGGCATTCACCGACATGAACTGCAAACTACATACGTCCGTGAGAACGCGGCCCCTCTGAGGTGACAGCTATCGGCCGATAGTTGGCCGGGTCTGAACGGTCCACTTTTTTGAGCACCGGTTGCATATTTGCATCCTTCTAAGTCTCCGGCACACGCCCCAATGAGTACGAAAGTTGCTACTAGCACGTAAGCACGGGAGAAAACTCCGCTGCACAATGTTTCAGTACAACAGGATGCCATCGAGTCCACTAGAGTCAACCCCGGTATCTTTGACAGCGCTGCGTCTGATCCAAGCATGATGTGCCGCTTGCTTACGTGCATCAGCACAGTCGCGATTGAACCAGCGGTTACGGGGTTATACGGGGTACAGTCGATTCATTAACCCATCGATGGAGCATTTTCTATACAGCGACAGGCGACAGTCAATGCACTGACTGTCAATATTATGAACCAAAACCGTTTATCTGGAAGGATTAATAAGTCCGAATTATTGAAAAAAATATGGATGCTCATGCGACCGAGTTCTTTTATAAGTACATAGTACGTTTGAAGATACTACGACATTAGAAAAACCTTATTCACGAATGTCGTTCAAATCTTCAGAGCCGTTCCGACTTTTTTCCGACGTACGAGTACGACAATAATAATATGACAAAGTTCTAGAGATCTTATATATTATGAACTCAACTGTACGTTCTGAAAAGACATTTTTTGTTTTCTTAGAAACCTGACGCTTCGACATCGAATAATTGAGTGTGACGACAATAGGGTTGCCAGAAGGCCATGAAATCGGGGATTGTCCCGGAATTTTGCGTTGTCCGTCTACAATAATTAAACCTTATTGTACCGGAAACCCCGAATACGTTTTTTTCACAATTTTACTATAAATACACCTACGTTCAGGGATCTATTTGGAATTGGGCTGCGAGGGACGACAGCAACTGTATAACGGGTTTTTAATTCCGAAAATGTTTTCGGCAGAAGCCATTTAAAGGCAATCGTCACTGTCCTATATTTGGATTTGATGTTTAATTCGTAGGGGGTGCAAAGGTCCCGGAATTGATAAGCCAGCATCTGGCAACACTAGTCGACAATGATCTTAGTTCGTACCATGAACTCCTGATATCCCGTTTCGGTGGTCATGCTAGAGGGTCAGATTTTAATTACTATGTTAACTAAAAAAACACTGAATAAAATTGAACCGACTTGAATATTCAAAAAAATACTTTTCCCTATTAAAAAGATTTGATTAAAGCTGTGATTCAATTACAACTTTCTTACTCAATTCATATTATTTTCTAGCCCCAGGGAATCTCGTTATCGGTATGCCACGTCTCATCTCTGCTATTAGTCTAGCCCTGTACTCCGCCCTGTAATCCGCGAATTGCGGTTCATAGGAATATACCAATAAAATATATTTTTAAGCTTAATAGTTTCGATGATGATTTTTAGATGAGTGATTGAACTGTTTAAATAGTTATAAACTATTTATTTTGAACCATTAGCACAAAGAACTCTACTTCATAAGCAAAACTATTTTGTAAAATACGATAATATTTTATTTAGGCATTTATAAATACAATAAGACTTAAAGTTTTGCTATTCTACTGCATGGCATCTTGAGACCTTGGCAATTGAAAGAATGTATAAATAAAACAACAAATAAAAAGTCGGCAAAGGCATAATGTGGTCCTTATATAGGAGGTACAACGTTGGACCGGTTTCGCGGACAGATTCTTTGCTCGAATGCAATCTTGTGAATCCTTTGCATTATTTTTACTGACTGTTGTCTGTATTTAATTTTCAGAGTGAGGCAGCCGAGCAAGCTGATGTGTCAGCAGCGAGTATTAATGAGCTGAGGCCGCGCCCGATGGCAGCGGTAGAGGCGCGCGCTCTCCTCCTGACTGCGGTGTTGGCAGCTCTGGTAGCGCCCAGCGCCCGCGCCGCGCGCTTCGGTGACCGCCTCGCCCCGAGAGTCCCCGCCGCCTACGCACCGCGCAACGCCCCCGCTGCGCATCAATATGCCGAAGCAGACTACGATGAGTCGTACGAGCAAGAGTACGATGAACAAAACCCCTCCGTCGAAGAGGATGATCCGTCACCCAAGACGGAGCCGCCCCCGCGCCGTCCTGCGCGCACCGAAGCTCACCGCCTCGAGATGAGCACCGAATACTTTGTGATACCAGACCGCACTTCGTCATCAACACCTCCGCCTACGTCCTCGAAACCATTAACGTCATCGTTGCCAACTGAAAAATTAAATACCACCTCGATAGTAGCGACTCAGCCGGCTACGGGATCTTTACGGCACGAATCATGGGCCGTACCAATCCTCGCTCTCGCCTGCGTCACGATGGTGACCCTCGGAGGTTTCGAAGCTTTCGTCATATGGGGCGCAAGACGAAAAGCCCCTAGCCATCGCCACCTCCTGCTCGGCCAGTGTTTACTGTTCGGCTTGTTCACTTGCGCCGCCACGGCCGCACTCTACGCGACCACACCGACAGTGTTCACTTGCGGAGCAGTGCGTTTCGGGACCGGAGTCGCATACGTCATCGTGTTCGCGTCTCTGCTCGTAAAATGTGTTTTTCTGTTGAGCCTGAACGGCGGAGTGTACCTGCCGGCGGCATACCAGGGGTTGCTCCTATTTTTCGCAGTGATGATTCAGGTGGCAATAGGCGCCCAGTGGCTCGGCGGGTCACCGCCTCGAGTGGTCAGAGACGGCGCTCGATGCGACTCACAACTGTCGGACATGTTGCTGTCGCTGTGTTACGCGGCGTTCCTGATCGCGGTGGTGTGCGGTGTGGCACTGCGATCGCGCGGCATCCGCGACAACTACCGCGAGGCGACGCACATAGCGGGCGCGGGCGGCGCGGCGGCCGCCGTGTGGGTGTGCTGGGTGGCGGCGGCGTTGGGTGCGCCCGAGCGGCACCGCGACGCGTGCGTGGCGGCCGGCCTGCTGGCCACATGTGCCGTGGTGTTCGCGCTCATGTTCGCGCCCAAGGGGCGGCGACTGGCAGCGCTGGGCCGCGAGGGCCGCTGGGACGCGGACCGCGACGAGGGTCTGAGCTCGCTAGGCGCCGGGGGCTCCGGATACTCGCCCTCCTTCTTCCACTTCAAACCCGTCAAGTATGGCATGGTGACCGCCGCGGCGCCCGCGCCCGCCCCGCCGCCCGCGCTCGACCGCAAGGACGCGCCCGCTCAGCCAGCCGGTTAGTTAAGTATCTAAAATGCGCTAATAGTGAGGAATAGCGCTTGCAGCACCACCGTTTAACCCTACGTTCTGTTCGCAGATCCGTATAGAGCGATGTACGCGAGTTCTCAGCACCTGCACTCACGCCCTCTTTGCTCTCCGCCGCACTACCCTCTGCACCCTCTAATGCACTACTACTACAATTATTCACCTTTCCAATACCTGTTGCCGCCAGGTAATTATTTGCACCTCAATGGTACTAGTATTATTAAATCATTTCACCTTGAATTCTTTTTAAAAAAATCCAATACTACTCCCTTAGCACGAACCAATATCGAATTCGATCTCGATACGCGTCAAATGTCAAGAAGTTTTGTATGTAAGATTTTAAACTCTTTTTACGTCCGTTGTGTGGCTGTTCAAATTTCCTTAAATGACTTCTTTAAAATTTGACGCGTATCGAGAGCGAATTCCAGTATTTGAAAGTGCTAAGTGTACTAATCCAAATTAGTATGTAGGTCAATTTTTGACGAAGAGACTCATTATGTAATGCGTTGTGCAGGCGTGATGGTGCGGCCGGAGGAGGGCAACGTGTACACGAGTGTGGAGCCCACCTTCAGCAGCAACCCCAACGTGTACTTCCACCGCACGGATCCGTTGCACGCCGGCATGATGTACTGAGCATCTGACAAACCAGCGTTCCGCAGTGAACAATGGGATTTGGCAGCGCAACCGTGGCGCGCCGCTGTCGCCTAAACCACCTGACGCTAGACGCCAGAGAGCGAACAAGTCCGATACGGTTACGAATTTGTGACGTCGACTTGATGTTTACTCATATAAAAATTTATTGTTGCTGCAATAACGATTAACCAAACAAAAAAATTATTACAACTATCTACTCTGCTCTATGAAAGATTTGAATCGAACACTGTTCTAGAGGATAAAGAAATTATAATTATTTACTATGGTTAAAATAAACTACTTTCTAGTCATTGTTTATTATGATTTGAAAAGTAATATGTACTGCAAATTGAAGACATGATTATGTAAAACCATACATACTTTAAAATTTGTTATGCAGCAACAGAAAGTTAAATGGCTGGAAATGAAATATACTAATGTTATGTGAAGTGAAACAAAAGCTGTTTGTGATTTAATACTGAACTTTACCCACCCTAATGAATACGCAAAACAGCAAAGTTTGTGACCTTATTATAGCTATAGAGATAAGTTAAGAACCATAATAATTTGTAAGTCTCTCATACGGCAGGTTGTAAATAAAGACTGTTTTATTATAAAATTGTTTTATTAAATAATGTTTTTATTTATAAAATTATTCTAACAACATTAACTTCACTCTCAACATGTAGCTGACACACTTCAATAAACAAAGTCATAATTAAGATACAAACACACTCTCATTGCTTGTTCACTTTGTACCAGTAGAGAGGAGAGCCAGCAGACCCGACGCAGAGGTCAGGGATACGATGTAGTTACTGTACGACACTCTCTAAGGAAAATTACCATTCTGAAAAAAACTGTTATCTTACTTACAGATATAATAATTAGCATAAATAAAACACAACCTAATTATAGCAATACCTAAACCTGACACTGCTTTAGCCTAAAATGTAGTCTGTCAATAATTCGTCTAAGAGCAGATAATTAAATAAAAATTTCTAAACTACCCAATGTATTGATATATTTTCCTATCTGATCATATAAATTAGTAGCTGTAGTATAAACTCCTTTATTGATAATGTAACCTTCAGCAACCATAACTTAATGCAATAGCACTGCCTAATACTTGTACCTACAAGTTCCATGCTAGTTTGAATAAAAACCAATTACATATAAAAAAATGCATTCTGTCTCTATGAAATAAATAAATATAAGCCCAAGAAGAAATGATATAGTGTCTTTTCAGAATCAGAAATATCACTATGTGAGCATCCCGGACATTTATGGACCTACCTAAGAATCATACCTTAAATGGCTTAAACCTAATAGATAACAAGAAGTCATTAATAGGTTGAATAAGATGTAGAAAAGTAACAATGTTTTTTATGATATCTTCAACACATTCAATAAGATATTAAATTAAAGCGGATAAAATATTATCATTTTGAAAATAAAGTTCTATGGAATAGATTGGTGAAAAATGACAAGACCAGCATGTGTTATCAAGCATAATATAGCACATATATTGTTTTGGTAATATATAATGCAGCAGATAAAGGAGGTAGGTCAGGATGACAATTGATAAATAAATGAATATTATCACCGTAAGTAATATATATCCAGTTAAATAAACACAGCTTGCAAGATTTACCAACCCCTAATGCCAGCACTTCATTTGGCTATTTATACTTGCTATTTAGAAGCCCGATGGCGCAAGTGGTTAGCGCGTTCGGCTGCGATCGTTAAGTTAAGCAAGTTTTGCAGTGGTCGGTCATTGGTTAGATGTCCTAAAATTTTCTATCTTACTTGCATCGGAAGGCACGTTGGTCTGGCTGCATCTGCAGTTGTTACCACCCACCAATCCGCACTGGGCCCACATGGTGGCTCATGGCCCAATCTCCTTATTCCATCCATAGGGAAGGCCTATGCCCCAGCAGCGGGTACATTAATAGGCTGATAATGATGATTTGCTATTTCTAAACTTCACAAGATTACAAATAGCCAAGTAAATTCCAACATCAAGATGCAATACCATTACACATACACAATAAGTAAGATTCCCAGTACCACTTAATTTTGAGCCAGCAAACCCACTCAAAACAGGTCACATTCATAGTCCCACTTAATTTTGAGAAAGCAATCCCACTCTGAAGAAGTAACATTCTCAGTCCTACTTAATTTTGAGCCAGCCCACCCCCTGAGAACAGGTAATATGGAACAGTCATACTTAAAAAATATTAAGGTAGGGCACCTAATTTAATATTTTTTTGAGTTTGCATTGTAACAAGTACCTAGCCTACGCTTACTCTATTTACAAAGTACCCAATACATTGATAAACTTCGTTATCTGCTAGTGTTTGATACTAGTGTTGCATATTGTTTAAAATATTATGTGTAAAAATTTGCTGTTTTTACGAAAAAGGATACACAGTAGGTGTGAATGTACGCAGCAGGTAGAAGCTGCTCAGGATCACGATGGTGAGGAAAAGAGCATTATTGTAGAAGATTGAGTAAGTGGTTGCTTCATAATCTGCCACCTCATTTTTCTTCCACAGGATTCTAAAATTATAAAAAGATTCATAATAATTTGTTTGCATTAAACATAAAGACAGTAATTATTTAAACAATTTCAAATTCAATGTCATATTCAAATCGCAGAAAATACTAATGTTAAAAAAATACAACTTCAAAATCTTTTAAGGATATAATCAGAAGCTTTGATGAGATTTAAAAATAAGTATGCATACCTCTCGTCCTTCTCTTTTCTGCTCATTTTCTTATCATCAGCCAGCTTCCTGGCCATTTCACGCGCCACAGCATCCTCCCGTCTCACGGCTACGCGATGCTTCAGCTGGAACTTGGTGTTGCGGTACGCAAGTGCCAGGAACCAAGTGCTGGCAGTGGTGACCAGAGCGAACCAGGCCAACGACGAGCTCACCTCCAGAGCATGCACTCGCCAGAACAACCCTGTGCAAGTCATAAGATAAAGTGTGTCAATAACTTTTACTAAAACATCAACAAGTCATGAATTAAAAACCACTTTAAATCGTCAATAAATTAACTAATAGGGCTTAGAAAGCAAAGGAAGTACTTACATATGGGTATAGCGGAGACGATAAAAGCATTCCCATAGAAAAGTGCCGAAGATTTGGTAGAAACATTCCTACTGAAGTCCTGCAAGAGCAGCTCCTCTTCTTTTGTAAATGCCTTGTTAACTTTTCCCGACATTTTTCTACTCACTAATAAATAAATGTAAAGAACTTTAACAGGACAATGTAATCCGAAAGCAAATGATCGGCCGCGAAAGTCTACAAAAACGACTGCGCTGGCAGAGGAATAGCGAAACGTCAAATGACATGTAAGCAACGTGTCAAAATTTGGTAAAAATGTTGCCATGCCATGATTGCCATTTATGCAGACCATAGACGCGGACCAAGTTTTCTTTTCTGTACCGGTACGACCAACGACAGCGGCAATATTTGAGACACATGTAGGGTCCTTTACATATAGTGCGTCCATGGTCAGAACCGCCTTTACAGTCTATAATGTAGACCAATTAGTCTATGATTTTATGAAATTTGACAATCCGACTGATGACAGGCCACCAGTGATGCCAGAACGTCCCAAAAGGGACGATTTTCGTCACTTTTCTCATCAAAGCGTCCCATCGATGTCCTTTTACATATTCCGTCCCTTTTCCGTCCGTTTTCGATAACGCTTCACTGCAACATTAGACGAATGCGTTTCGTTTCACTCATTGATTTATTTCACTAAATTGCCATCACTATTCGTTGTACATTGTCAACTCTATTCGTCAAATCACCCAGTAAACTACATCGAATCCAACGCTCGCTACGAAGGTGACGTTTAACAAATACCTACCTATATCTATATACCAACTCAAAGCTCAAACCCAATAACCTACCATATCTTACCTAATAAAACTTTTGTTGTTGAGGTACCTATATTTCAATTATAAAGATAATAGGTAACTTAAAAATAAGTGCTTGCTTTGTTAGGTCGTAAGTACGTACGATACGTTCGTACCACCATGATGTACCTATGTCCTCCGTACTTCTTCTTTATGTTTATTGTGTGCCCAAAAAAATGTAATTAATATGGCTCTGTTAAAATGTTTTTTGAAGTGAAACTTCTTTAGGCACGCTTGACTTGGGGGGTAAACTGGCGAATAGTTACGATTTCGCGTTACGATTAGTGTCATCGGTGACTCATCGGTAAACAATGAACAATACCTGTCACAAAATACATAAATCTAGTGCTTGGCTAGGTGGCCTGGATAACGGACCTAGCGCGGATTGGTGGATGGTAACGGACCCAGCGCAGATTGGTGGGTAATTACTAGTGGTGCCAGGTGTCCCGATTTGTGCGGGATGTCTCGATTTTCAGGGGTGTGGGGACGCGTCCCGATTTGTACCTGATCGGGACGCTAAATAACCCGATGAATCAAAAAATGAAAGTTAGGTAATTAATATAATACTATACTTGCACTAGTGGTTTAAATCGCAAAAAATAAACCCAGACTAAAAAACCCTCGTTTTTTGTTTACTGTCACGATCTTTTTCACCTTATGTACCGACTTAAAACAAATCGGACCTGGCAACACTAGTGATAACGGACCCAGTGCGGATTGGTGGATGATAACGGAACGGACCCAGCGTGGATTGGTGGATGATAACGGGCCCAGCGCAGATTGGTGGGTGATAACGGACCCAGAGCGGATTGGTGGATGAAAACGGACCCAACGCGGATTTGTGGGTGATAACGGACCCAGAGCGGATTAGTGGATGATAACGGTCCCAGCGCGGATTGGTGAGTGATAATGGACCCAGTGCGGATTTTAGGGTGATAACGGGCCCTGCGCGGATTGATGGGTGGCAATGGACCCAGTGCGGATTGGTGGGTGATAATGGCCCCAGCGCGGATTGGTGGGTGATAACGGACCCTGTGTGGATTGGTGTATAATAACGGACCCAGTGCGGATTGGTGGATGATAACGGACCCAGTGCGGGTTGGTGGGTGGCAATAGACCCAGTGCGAATTGGTGGGTGATAACGGACCCAGCACGGATTGGTGTGTGATAACGGACCCAGCGCGGATTGATGGTTTTTTTCTATCAAATTACAGATCATTGGAGCTATAGAAATTTCACTTCCAGTCGTGTGTTCCTAAGCACACTCGCTTTTCTTTTCATTTAACCGCATTATAATAGAACTACACTTACCTGTCGTGTTGTATTGTAACACATCAGAGAGCTATCTGTTTCATACAATTATGGTTAATGTGAGAACGCTGTCGACACATCGCGACACACAGGTTTAATCAGAATCAGAATTTCAGAATTTTATTTGTGAAACATAGGTTAGTATACATGGTATATATAATTTTTGTTAGTATCACTACATTTCCACCTTAATTAAGGTATACAAATAGATAAGGACCTATGAAAGAAGTACTATTATTTTTACATTGGAATCACAATTTATGAATATAATTTGAAATTGTCTATTGTTACATGCATGTCAAAGTAGATTATAAATTAATTATAAATTTGATAAGCCATTGTCAATTATACTAATAGTCAAAATTTTAATAGAAAAATAAGGAAAATGTCCAAAATAGCAATAAATACACATTTCTTAACTGGATTGTCAATTTTAATATGTCTAAATTTTTTAATAGAGATCTGCTTCTGTATAGTTCTTAGTGCTAACCGTACTAAATGTATGAACCAGATCGCGCCACAACACAACACGTAAGATAAATATAGTTCAGCCTTTAGTTTAATATTTCTGTAGGGCCGTCCTTTTTGACTAAAAATCGTCCCTTTTCAGATTTCGAATCGTCCGAAACACGACGCAGGTACTGGCAACACTGCAGGCCACTGTCACAGAGGTTATGTCAGGTGGACAATTTGAAAAAGTTTGTCCGTTGTTTGTTTGTGTAGTGTATTTACGAAGGGGAAACAAGAATAGAAAGCGATTACTTTATTTTCATGTCGCTATTGTAAAATGAGTCACTTCGAGTTTGCTATACCTTTGCAAAAAGATGAGTTGCTGGAGTCTCATGCAGGCCAGTACCATGTCGAAGACGTAGTTCAACCAAGATTACTTCTCTCTAAACTACAGGGTAAGAGATGCTAAATATATTAGGTTGGTTATTTGATAACACAATACTTGCCTTAAATTGGCAATGACTCGTTTATTTTCTTACAGATGCAGCCAGGGCTTATAACAGTGAAGGAGTTGATTATATATTGGAACATTTTGATACATACTTTTCAATAATAGTCCATGGAAATAAACTAGAATGGAATATTATTAACAAAGGTATAAATGCTACATGTACATGCCAATTATTGTGCGATATTTCTATAAGTTTAAAAAATTACTTTATATTGATTTTTTTACATATCTCCAGGCTTTGATCACATCGTAAGGGCAGCAAAAAACCTATGTAATCATCTTGAATTGCTATTTCAAGATCAAGAGATTGATAATGATGTCCGTGTTAAGAATTTGAACATAGTAAAAATGGTTATGTATCTATTCACACAAGTGATGAAAACAAAGGATACGAAGTTAGCAGCAGATGTAAGTACATAAATGTTGTAATAAAATTTCTTATTAGCAAGTATTAAATGTAAAAAAGGAATCAAATTATTTCTAAAACTTGAAAATTATATAAGAAATGATAATAGAGTATAATTATGTAGCTGCAAACTTTTTGAACACAACCACAGACAAATTAGCTTGCACAGTAGACGTTTTTGTATGTAAAATTACTAGATACTGCACTGAGAGCCTTCTCTTGACCTTGGTTCATCCTCAAGAAGTTTGCTGGGGTGTATTATATTATATAGTATATATAGTGCATTAGATATCTTTTTTATTCAAATTCTTAAAATATTTGTCAATGTCTGTATATTCAATATTGTTTAGAACTCTACAAAATTAACACTTGGAAAGAAAGGCAAGAAAGCTTCAGATGAAAATGAAGAATTTTGTGGTTGGACTGAATCGGACAAGCAGGCAGCACTGGTCACTTTGCACTTGATTTTGCAACAAGCACTTTCTCGGCTCTGGGATCCGCCCTTAGCAGAGGATAATTTTGTTTCGTAAGTAAGCAAAAGTATTTGTCTTTAGCACTTTAGATATTGATAATTAAAAGTACCTACTCTATATTGTGTGAATAAAAAAATATATTTCAGTTTAATATGAATATTTATATTGGCAGTAATCATTTAATATAACTAGGATGTAATTACGATTAAAATATGTCATAAAATCACAACAGGTATTTCTGTGCAACTTATATCCTTTTCTATAAAGTTGAACATAAGAATTTTGTAATATTTTTCAGTATGGTAGCAGAACCATGCTATAAGGCATTAGAAGAACAAATTATAAAAAACAAAGCAGTGAGGGAGACAGTTTTTCAAGTACTTGGTGTATTGATCAAAAAATATAATCATGGCACTTCTTGTCTCATCAAATTAGTACAGGTAAATATCAATAAATTAACTGCATTTAACTGCTAGATAAGGAAAAATAAATAAAATACATAATTTATTTCGCACTCGAGCAAGCTCCACTAGTTCCGTGGGTGAATAAAACAAAATTTAGTACTACAGTTGCCTCACCATCAAACCTGAACGAAACTATAAACCGGAAGATAATAAATAGTTATAAGAAATGTACCATAAATACAAAATCAACTCTCAACTTGGTTGGTCACCGCGGGAGAAGCAGACCAATACCCCCCAACCATTGCTACAAATACAAACAACACAAAACTACATAAAATTAAGCACAACAACAATATACACATAGCGACTCTGAACACTCGCACTTTAAGAACTGACGAAAGTTTGCAGGAATTAGAAGTTGCACTACAAAATCTAAACTGGGACATAATAGGCCTTTGTAAAACAAGAAGGTTTGGCGAATCTATACAACAAAGGTCTAACTACATATTTTTCAACAAAGGCGAAACTGCAGGACAATAGGGAGTAAGTTTTTTGATCAAACTCGCTCTAAAGAATCAGGTTATAGAATTTCTAGGAATATCAGAAAGATTTGCTACCATAACGTTATCACTAACCAGCTACAAAACAGAATGGAAAATTATCCAAGCATATGCACCAACAGAAAACGCCTCCACAACTGAGCTTGAAGACTTCTACACTCGGCTATCTACATACATCGAACAACACCGCCACTGTCACCTAGTAGTAATGGGTGACTTTAACTCTCAAGTGGGCGTGAGACAAAGGGGAGAAAATCTTAACATGGGAGAATTTGGATTTGGTAAGAGAAGTAAAAATGGTCAGATGCTTACTGACTTTTTCATCATAATCTATCGCTGCTAAATTCATTTTACAAGAAGAAAAATAAAAGCAAATGGACCTGGATCTCCCCAGACGTGAAAACAAAAAATTAAAATAGATTACATATTGACAAACAATAGGAAAGCTTTCTTAAATACATCAGTAATTCAAAACCTAAACTTCAATACTGATCACAGAATGGTAAGAGCAGTCTTAAACAGAAAGAAACCAAAAAACACACGTCGAAATATTAAAAACAACGATCAACTCATTGGTGAAGCTTCGGAAGAACTAAAAGGCACCTTAAAAGCATGCGAAATAAATTTTAAGACTGAAAATATACATGAATATTACAACAAAGTAGAAACACTACTAAAAAGCAATGTTATACCCAGCACAAATATCACTATTTTCGTCAAGTAGAAAAGACTACAGGAAAATAAACCAACTAAGTAGAAACATAAGAAAAAGCATCAAGAAAGATAGGAAAAACAGAAGGTTAAGCGTCTTGGAGAAACACATTATTGAAACGGGTGGAGTGAAAAAAGCATTAAAAGAACTCAGAGAAGCTAAAGAGTGGATCCCAAAAATTGGCAAACAAAATGAAATCAAGCTAAGAAGAAGTGATATTATTGAAGCAGCTACCCAATTCTATCAAGAACTGTATTCTGATGTAACTTTCTCAAAGATATCCAAAGAATCCTACGGCACAGAAGAAGATGAAAACTATGTACCACCTTTACTAAGTAGAGAAATAAAAGTTGCAATAGAAAGCAAAAAGTTAAAAAAGTCACCAGGACCAGACAGAATTCCCAATGAATTACTAAGAGGAACAATCCAAGAAATAACTCCAATTCTGACTACTATTTCCAACAAAATATTAAATAATAAAACTATACCAATACAATGGACAGAAGCTCACATAATACTTATACACAAAAAAGGTCCCAAAGACGACATTAACAACTATAGGCCTATAAGCCTCATGTCCAATGTTTATAAAGTTTTTGCCAAGGTAATATAAAATAGAATTAGTCAGATACTAGATGAAAATCAGCCTATAGAACAAGCTGGATTCAGGAAAAATTATTCATCAATTGACCACATTCACACCATTAAACAGATCATGGAACGATATAACGAATATAACAAATCTATATATATTGCTTTCATAGACTACACAAAAGCCTTTGATAGTCACCAATCTATCTGGTCAACTTTAGCAAAACAAGGAGTATCCGGGACATACAGTTCAGCAAAAATAAAGTTAGAATCACTAGGCAAAAAAATCGACATAAAAAGGGGAGTAAGACAAGGGGATCCACTGTCACCGAAACTTATCTAAGGTTCGCAGATGATATTGTGATCTTCGAAGAAGACCCGAGGCTCCTGGAGAGAATGATTCAGGAATTAACCAAAGAGAGCCTAACAGTTGGACTAAAGATGAACCCTGACAAAACTAAACTTCCAAACAACTCATCTAAAATTGCTATTCAAGTCGACAATCTCGCTTTGGAGTATGTGCAAGAATATATCTATCTTGGTCAAATTATTTCAGCCAGAGATCAAACTTCTAAAGAAGTGAACTCACGGATAGCCTATGGATGGAAGAAATATTGGAGTCTGAAGGAGATAACCAAAGCTAGAAACCTAGGCATATCACTGAAAAGAAAAGTATTTAATACCTGTATCCTGCCATGCCTGACATTTTTTTTTGTTTGCATATCCACAATCAGTTAGCTACTATAAGTGAATACGTTGTCTGTCCAATAATTGCGATGAGTGTACCCTCCATTGAGAGTACTACTCCATGTGCTACATCCAGGTGCTACATTCGCTCCGATAGTGACGAGATATTATGCCTTTTAAGCCGGTTACAGTAGGATTGTCTTGTAAGTGCGACTGCCAGCTCGTTGGGATGCTGAGCAAGTCGTTTTTGGTATCTTGTAGATGTAGCCCGGATTTCTTCCTTTACTGTGCTTATTTGTAGGTTCTCGTGAATTACAAATTCAATAGTGCCCTGGTTTGTAACAAACAACGAGTGTTTGTTACAAACCAGGGCACATTGGATATGGTGCACAAGATAACGTTCTGTAGTCTTTGTATTACGCTTATGTTAGAGTTACTCGCGCTACCCCACAGCTGTATACCATACATCCATACCGACTTAAGGAGGGCATTGTACATTAGGAGTTTGTTGTCTACAGAGAGTTTGCTGTTGCGTCCAAGTAACCAGAGCTTTGCTTTAATGTGATTTTTCCATGTCAGCCTGCGGTCGAGATGTAAGCAAAGATATTTCACATTATCTTTGTTGGGTAGTATGTTGTCTTTTAGAGATACAGGTGGACAATCTCCTTTTTTGAGGGCAAAAGTTATGTGTACCGACTTAGTCACACTTGCTCTAATCCTCCATTTCTTTAGCCAGATACTTATTTCGTCTAGCCCTTTTTGGAGAATATGAGATGCCACAATCTAACATTTATTGCTGGCTAATATGGCAGTGTCATCGGCAAAGGTTGCTGTAGTAACGCCTGTTATTGTTGGCAAGTCTGCAGTATATATTGTGTATAACACTGGTCCCAGTACAGACCCCTGAGGTACGCCTCCTTTAATTTCAAAGAATTCTGATGTTTCACTCGATTCTTTCACCTGAGATATTCTGTCTTCTGTGTAAGATTGTAATAAAGGGTGATAACTGTGAGGGAGACAGTTTTTTAATTTGCATAGGAGGCCCTCGTGCCATACTTTATCAAATGCCTGTTGAATGTCCAAGAAAGCTGCTGAACAAAATTCTTTATTTTCCAGCGCCTTTCTGATTTCCTCTGTTACCCGATGCACCTGTTCTACAGTAGAATGGTTTTGTCTAAAACCAAATTGATGATCTGATATTGTTTTATTTGCCTTAAGAATGGGAAGTATTCTTTTAAGTATGATTCTTTCGCATACCTTCGACAGTATTGGTAAAAGGCTGATGGGTCTGTAGGATGACACTTCGTTTGGTGGCTTGCCGACCTTAGGAATTATAACAATTTGGGATACCTTCCACATAGTGGGAAAATGTTGTGTTCTGAATATGCCGTTATATAGCGTGGTGAGGAATACTACAGCTCTTTTGGGCAAATTTGTTAATATTACCTTTGTAATAAGATGGAAACCAGGAGCCTTCCGATCATTTAAGGCTTTAATTGTCGACCACACCTCTTTAACGGTAACTGGTTCCGGTGGTAACGACATCTGGTACGGTTGATCAAGAACATTATCCACATATGTGTTCGATTCCTGATTGTTTGTAGCGTTTGGTGAGAAAACATTAGCCAGATGATTGGCAAACAAACTTGCTTTTTCTGTTACACTTTTAGCCCAACTATTGTCACTTTTTCTTAAGGGAGGTTTACATTCTTGAGGTCCGTTTAGTGTCTTGGTAAACTTCCATAGTGAGTGGCCAGTGGATCCATTAGGAGCAAGTGATTCCAACTTTGTTTCAAGTGTAGTGTCGTGCCAATTTTTAAGTAGTGTTCTCAGTTCATTTACCTCTTTATTCAGTTTACGCCTATCGTCACTGTGCCTGCTCTGTTGCCGTATGCGCCGAGTCCTTCTCTTTTCTGCCTGACATATGGATGCGAAACTTGGTCACTAACAAAACAACACCGAGATAAGCTTGAATACTGTCAAAGAGCTATGGAGAGGAGTATGTTAGGAATAACAAAGAAAGATAGATGGAAAAACGAAGACCTCAGGCGGAAGACCAAAGTAACTGACATCCTGACCCGAGTAGACCAACAAAAATGGAGATGGACAGGCCACATGATACGTAACCCATCAGAAAAATGGAGTAAAGTTGTTACCAACTGGTACCCCAGAGATGGAAAAAGAAGCAGGGGACAGCAAGTTGCTAGATGGGCAGATGAGATTAAACAGACGGAGTGAGTTCACTGGAGAAGAATAGCCCTAAACAGATCTGAGTGGCGAAGATTGGAAGCAGCATTTCTCCAAAGATTCGAGCATCGGCTGGACAACCTGTAGAGGCTGGGGGAGGCCTTGTGTTACTGACACGCTAGGTTTACAACAAAAGAAAAAAAAAACTAACTAACTTAATAAAGGCTTTTTTATTTTATTAACTGCTAGATTTAAACATCTAGCAGTTAAATGCTTAAAACATAAAAACATAACTATCAATAAATTACTTTAAAAATGTTCTTATTTATAGTTTTCTGTATATTCTTTATCGTCGAGTCTACATATAATTTTTATTTCAGGTCCTACAAATGTTTGAACATGCTGTCCTCCCCATCTGTACTGGAGTGGTGCAGTTGCACAAAGAATTTGGACTTGGCACATTTGGCCCTCAAATGGTATGGTATACATTAGTTAAATTACTCCTCTATTATATTTATTATTATTTTTTGCCTTTATCTCAAGCTTTGTAAGTAATACCTAGGTACAGTACATTTTGTGGTTTAACAAAACATGAACATTTTTGGTCAGCTTGTTAAGATTGCACATGATCAGCTGAATTTAAACAAACAAACTAATGTAGCAGCTGAAGTATTCTCTAAGAATCATCACTCATTCTATACAGTTTTATGGATGGCAACTGGTGTTCATAGACCTCCATACAATTTATAAGCAGCATTTCCTATCACTCGAGTCCTAATAAGATAGTTATAAATACATGAGAAGACGCCGCTTGAACTAGGCAATTTTATCCAATAAGGCTATAATTTCATTTTACATAGGTCCGTGAAATAGCCGAAGCACTGGCATCGTCAGAAGAAGAAAACGTAGGCGCAGGCACAGAGCAAGGCGCCGCCCGCAACTGCGGCGCTTTCTTGCTAGAACTCACCAAGGAGTTGCCGAAGGAAATGACAGGCGCTATAGCCACCATACAGCCTTATTTAGAGAGTGATGAGGTTAGTTTTATTATAATATCAGAAACATTGAAAAATTTCAAATATACATTTTGATAATCCATTCTACATTTTACTTGAGCATATCGGATAATCTTTTTACAATAGAGATATACTAAATAAAAAAAATGTATAGAAGGTGTTGATTACACAATCAAATTAATCAATTTATTTCCATCATACCATTATGATTTGTTTTATGTACTAGCAAAAGCACTTCAGGCCTTTTTAAATAACAATATTTAATACCCTAGAGACACTATGTGCGCTCGAAATGTGTGCCAATCAAGAAGTGCTTGATTATCACTCAAGCAGTTCTTGGTTCACAGTCACACATGGACCGTTGAAAAGATGCCACAGAGCTCTATAAAAAAATTCAAAAAAATAATTATATAATAGTACGTAGTGTCGTTTTTTCGACAGGTATCTAATCAATGTTTGTTAATTTAACACATTTGAAGCAAATTTTATTTCATACTTACTACGTATAAACTGATTTAATAAAAAATATTTGTGATATTCATATGCATGGTTGGTTATATACTCGTAGCAGTCACTTTTCCTCGCGTTCTGTACCTGCTATATTACCGACAGTGCATTCAGAATTATACGTAGAGTCAAAGAAATAAAGTCTATATTCTTCCGCCTATAGCAACAGGTCGTAAAATCTTACGAGCTTGCATTTCGAACTGTTGTAAACCTTTATTGCATACGTTTAAATGAAGACCTTATAATGGTGACTTTGAATGTTTAAATAATGCCTTATATTGTTTTTGACTACTCAACCATCTTATTTCAAATTTAAATGTCTGTTGATTTTAAAGCTAGAAAAATAAAACAAATTCCAGTGTTTATGGTACACTTTACAGTTTATTTTATAATAATTTTCAGGAGCTAAGCCTAATTAAAAATATTTAAAAAATGCAAGTGTTAGAAATCAATAAAAAAAATGTATTTTTTAAATATTTTTATTTAGCCTTGGCTCATGGCTTTGAAAAAAAGTCGCACCTGAACACTTTTTTTCAAATAGCTCCTCAATTAACTTAGATATAGAGCTAATACCTACTCGATGAACTACTATTAGTACCCTCTACAATATAACATAGGTTACGATATAGGTCTTATCGGGGCAGTTTGCCTATGCAAGGACAGCTAGACCTTTTACGACTTTATTAATTTAAATAATTTTCAAGTTGATCTTGTCCACTTTTTAGTCATACACGCTTCGTATCAGCGTATTGGGCATGATGTGCGAAGTGCTTAGCGTCGAGTTACGCGGCGAGGGGCTGACAGACGAACAGCGCATACAGCGAGATGATTTCCTTGACGAATTGTACGAACACATGCATGATCTATCTGCCTATGTGCGCCATAAGGTGAGTTACTAGCAAATAATCAGGTTAGCCTTGGAATATTTCCTACTAATGTGTGCCCGCGATTTCGTCTGCATGGAAAATTGTTTTCCCATACTAAGTTATTTATGCGCTATAAGGTGGGTTACAAGCAGGGATATCCTGTGTAACAAAGAGGAGCTTGAGGGCAGCAACTTTCGCAACGGTTCATTGGATGGATGACTAAAAACAAATTATCTCGAGCTCCTCCGTGCCTCTCGAAAGGCAGTCTTTAGCACCCCCACCAATCCCCATTGGGCCCGTGTAGTGGGTCACAGCCCAATCTCTATTTCGCCCATAGGGAAGGCCTGTTCTCCAGCAATGGGGACTTTAATAGGCTGATGATGATGACATCCTGTGTTTTGCCTTGGAACATTTCCTATTATGAAGTGTCTACTAATTACTATTGACATCATGATACTCAAATACGGACGAACTGCGCATACAATGAGACGATTTCCTCGACGAATTGCATGGGTGCAATTGCACGATCTGTCCGTCTATATGCGCCATAAGGTGAGTCACTAGCAGGAATGACCAGGTTTGCCTTGGAATATTCTTACTAGTGGGTGCCCCTGTGAAAATTGGTTTCACATACAAAGTTCTACCCCTAATCCCTCCCTTTTTTACCCCCTTAAAGGATGGTTTCTGGCATAAAAACTTTGTCCTCTGCAGACAAAAGTCTCGTCAGTGCATGTAAAAAGGTAAGTAGCTGGAATATCCAGTGTTGCCTTTGAAAATTTCTTATAGCGAAGTGTCTCTTAATTAAACGTACTTTAGGCTCTCATACTCGAATACGGATGAACAACGCATACCTACATCGAGACGATTCCTTGCCGTATTGTACGAACTTATGCACGATCTATCCGCCTATGTGCGTTATAAGGTAAGTTATGTAGGGATATGTAGTATCTGAATACTAGCGGCCGCCCGCGACTTCGTACGCGTTGAATTAGTTAGAAATAAAGGTTCACTGCTCGTTCCCTTAGGTGATAGCGTGATAATATGTAGCTTATATGTTGACCCGGCTTCTTAATAATATTCGTACGAAATTTGAAGTAAATCCATGCAGTACTTTTTGAGATTATCCCGGACATACATACAGACAAACAGACTAACAGACAAAAATTCTAAAAACTATAATTTTGGCTTAGGTATCGATAATCTCACACCAAATATTCTTTTAAAAAAATATCAATGTACAGTTTTGACTTTCCTACCATTTTATAATATGTATAGATTATTGTAAATATTGTATAATGTCTAATAATTACTATTCGCTTGATTATCACAGAAATTTCAAAATTTTATGTTTATTTCATCAACATGTAGAATGGACTAAGTACATTTATATGAAATTAGCAACTCTCTAGAAAGAGAAAAATCAGTGATACATCCAATACCTGTACGAACTATTGATATTTGACATGACTTGGTAGAAATATTATTCAATTTCAAAAGTCAAATTTAAGAAATTAATACACAAAACATGTCTATTCTCCTTACAAAGCTTGATATTTTAGCCCCCAGTACCCATGCCTAATATGCATACGGCTTTTCACTACTTCTTTCAAACTTCAAAAAAAGTTCTGTTATGAGATACATGAAGACATATTACTGTAACAGGTTCTCCAATTCTGGAGTAGATTGCAACGTGAGAACTGTGTGCCAGTAAGCAGACAACGCGTGGTGCTAGAACGAGCTATCGGCCGTCTGCGGGATAAGGCAGCGTTGGTCAGAAAGGCTGCCATACAATTACTAAAGGTACGACAGGAATATTTGACAAATATATTACACCCCAATATTTACAAAGTTCGAAAACGATCTAGAAAAATTTGATAATGCATTACTTGATATAAACACGTCATCTGAGTCACAGTTCTGGAAATGAATTAAAGTCGTTCTTATTGCCACGAGAATAAGATACTTGCATTAGTAGAGACATTTATTTTACATCTGGCTCTACTGACAACCGGGCTTGCAAAAGTACACATAAACAACATATATTTATGTTTAATGTATTATCTAACAATTTTCAGGTGTTCTTAGAGTGTAATCCATTTTCGGCGCAATTGAAATTAGAACTGCTTGAAGAACAACTAGAATCAGAACAGAAAATACTAGATGAGCTACAAAAGAAACTGAACCCTGGGCCGGACCCAGATCTTATCAAGAAATGGGAGAAAATAGAGAAGGACGTGATAAAGATGATAAAAGAGAAGATTGACATATTGACACAGGACGAGCCGGAACTCTCGCAAGCTTCGTTGGATAATCTGTATGATGCCATTCGTAAGCATATGCGGGATAAGGACTATTACAAAGCGTATTTGATTGTAAAACACACAGAGCGACAGTATCCCGATGCTAAATTGTTGAGGTGTGACATGGAAAAAAGCGATCAGGTATTATATAATTTATAGTAACAAATTCAAGAATCTCTTATCTATTAGACAAGTCCGTCCGTCCGTCCGTCCGTCCGTGGTGCTGTTTCATCGGCCAAACCGTAAGAGATAGATATAGAGAATGTTTAAGTTATAAGTTAAGAATAGTCTGATAAGACTACAAACCGGATGTGAGTAACGTAGCACTTCCGGTTTTCGAGAAATCACGTGATTTCTATTTCAAACGAAACCACACAAAATCTCCGAAGTTCTCAATTAATTAAATACATGTTTTTTTTTTTTGGTGAACATTTGGTTCACTGGTTTGCTAGTATATAGTATAGTTCAAGAAAAATTCCATGTACATAATAAGTTTAGAAAAGTCACATTTATAACAGAACTTACAAAATTCCGCATAGAATATTTATCTTTATGGCCAGTAGCTTTAAATAGAAATTTCACAATTGCTAATGCAGCTTTTTTAAAATAACAATTTACTTTCAATCCTGTCCAAAATTCCTAAAATTGATGATGTTTTCAGATTGACTACTTCGTCGCTTTAATGCGTAACATATACGTCATTCCCGACAGAAGGCAATCTATATCAGTAACACAGCAATGTGAAAATGAACTAGCGCTATACAAGAGATTAGAGGAGAAGGAAAATATAGTAGCCTTCTTACAAGAATCCGTACACTTCAGTCGAATGGTCTCTGAAGCCGTTCCTCTGATCAACGCGTTGCTCATGTCGAAACAAGCCGGAGACGTGAGCGAAGCGATTGACTTTTTCACGACAGCCCACCATTTCAACATCGAGTCCGCTAAAGTTGGTGTCGCCAATATGCTGCTACTAGTTTGGTCTCCAGATCAGGTACGAATACGCGTCAAATTATTTTGTTTGTTTTTCACCACATTAATAAACCAGATTATAGTTGGGCCAATTTAATAGGTCGCATTTGACATCTGTATGTTTTAGCTTTATAGTGAGGGTGGCTACACACATAGCGGGCCGAGGTAACCTGCTTAAAAACAATGACTAAAGTTAATGAATTATTTCCAACTTTACACCGACCGTTATAAGGTTGCCTTGTTGATTTTTGATAAGTGTCAATAATCTGTATATTTTCTTCTTTTCTAAGGGTCAATTCACACCGAAATGATAGCGTTTGGCAACGAAAACTTGCCGCACAAGCACTTTCTCACGTAAAGCGATGTGAAATAATAATAGTAACAAAGACCAGTATCGCTTGAAAAGGTTCCGCGGTGTCGCGAATGGGCAACATCGTGCGCAGCCTCGTTACTGCGCGGGCGATACGGGTCTTTTAAATGTGTAAATAAATATTAAAATAATTTCACACCGCTTTCAGTCGAGTGGTCGCTACCGGCCCCTGCACATTCCGATGTGAGTTGACCCTAAGTCTCTCTTTATTTGGATTGGAATATAAATTTTCTTAAAATTATAAAAAAATATAACTTTCCGTTGTTCTTCTTACATAGTCCCAGATTAGTAATCATCCCTCAACAATGAATCCTTAATCACAAACTTGTATATTTAGATAAAAAAGTTAACATCAACTCCTCAATATATTTAAAAACATGAACATAATAATGTATCCTAATTAATACCTTTTTTTTATCCATTCGTAGGATAAACGCGAAGCAGTGGAGCGTGCCTACCGTGACATGTACCTGGAATGCGAGACAAAGGCGGAGAGAGCGCGCGCATTCAGCATCGGCAAGCGTCTGGTGGCGCTAGTGTCGCACGTGGACCGAGGCAGCGCGCTTGCTCTGGAGCACCTCGTGGGGCAGTGGGTGGAACGCGGAGACATGTCGCCACCCGTCATACAGGTCACCGGCGACAGTACATCCATGACGTCACACAGTCCTGCAGCGAGCTTCTGGAGGCGCTACTTTCGCACGTGGACCGAGGCAGCGCGCTAACTCTGGATCACCTCATGGGGCATTGGGTGGAACGCGGAGACGTCGCCCCCCGTCATACAGGTCATCGGGGACAGTACATGCATGACGTCACACAGTCCCGCAGCGAGCGTCTGGAGGCGCTAGTGTCGCACGTGGATCGAGGCAGCGTGCTAGATCTGGAGCACCCTGTGGGGCAGTGGGTGGAACGCGGTGACATGTCGCCCCCCGTCATACAGGTCACCGGGGACAGTACATGCATGACGTCACACAGTCCCGCAGCGAGTGTCTTGAGACGCTAGGGTCGCATGTGGATCGCGGAGACATGTCGCCCTCCGTCATACAGGTCACCGGGGACAGTACATGCATGACGTCACACAGTCCCGCAGCGAGTGTCTTGAGACGCTAGGGTCGCATGTGGATCGCGGAGACATGTCGCCCTCCGTCATACAGGTCACCGGGGACAGTACATGCGTGACGTTACACAGACCCGCAGCGAGCGTCTGGAGACGCTAGTGTCGCACTTGGATGGAGGCAGCGTACTAGATCTGGAGCACCTCGTGGTGCAGTGGGTGGAACGCCGAGATAAGTCGCCCCCCGTCATACAGGTCACCGGGGACAGTACATGCGTGACGTTACACAGACCCGCAGCGAGCGTCTGGAGACGCTAGTGTCGCACTTGGATGGAGGCAGCGTGCTAGATCTGGAGCACCTTGTGGTGCAGTGGGTGGAACGCCGAGACATGTCGCCCCCCGTCATACAGGTCACCGGGACAGGACATGCGTGACGTCACACAGTCCCGCAGCGAGTGTCTGGTGGCGCTAGGGTCGCACATAGACAGTTCGCGCTACAAAATTCTGTCGATTAGGCTGGAACATCTTGCTCATCGTCTGCTATTCATTGATAAATACATACATATGCATAAAAAAATCATAATAATCAGCCTATCAATGTCCTCACTGTAGAAGCTGTAGAGCGGGTGCTCAGGCGTCTCTTACAATTTCGATTTCAGTAATGCGTACTCTACTGGGGGTCCATTACAGTTCGCATTACTGAAATCGAAATTGTAAGAGACGCGTGGGGAGGATAAGTCGCGTGGTGATTGGATACGTCAGTGTGACGTCACCTTTGAATAACATTGGTGAAATTATATATAGCCAGTAGTCGACATCTAGAGGCGTGTTACACATATATTATGTAGTGTTACTATCTAGGCTTGGCGCGGCTTATTTTAAGCGGGTACCCTAGAACGCGGTCTTTTGTGGGATTACACTGTTGCACAGGACTTTTCTTTGAATGGAATAGGGAGATTGGGCCATGACGCACTACGGGGCCCAGCGTGAATAGGTTGGTGGGTGCTATCGACTGCAGATACAGCCGGGACCAACCGATTAACGTGCATTCCGAAACATGGATGAGTTCGGAAGTTTTGGTCACCCATCCAACTTCCACTATCCCAACTTGTTGAAAGTACTTATTGTGTTCATAACACTTATTTTTACTATTAACAGGTCTTCTGGGAGATGTTTCTGAAGAAAATCGACGGTACTACTGATATGGATAGCTACGCCGCGTTATCATTACTTGTCATGGTTGCCAAAGCGAAGCCATCCGTAGCAATAGCTAATATGGAGGTCATTCAGACCCATGGCCTCACCGCCGATTACAATTCAAGGAATCTGAGCGCCCAACTCCTATTGGCTCTAGCTAAGAAGAACCAACGATACCCTGCTGACCACCCAATGTTTACCTCCGTATTCGAAAGCCTTTTGGAAACGTTCTCCAAACTGAATAACTTCGTTTCGTTCGCTGCTAACTCCGTCGATTTGATTTACGCCCTGTGCGACACGCCTGAAACCATATGCGCTAAATTGTTAGCAGAAATGTATAAGCGAATAGAAGAAGCAATGGTCAAAGATAAAGAGAACGAGGAGGATGTTACTCTCCCCACGGAACTATTGACGCGTTTTGTATTTGTTCTCGGCCACGTAGCGATGCAGCAACTGATATATCTTGATATCAGTGTTTACAGTGAACTAAGGAGAAGAAATCAGGTGAGAAAAGGATATTTCATGTTTCTACGGAACTGTGATAATTAATATACCATTTGTAATATGTCGTAAAACGCACAAAATTTACGCTCGTTCTAATAATTGTTAACCCAAGAGTAAACGCACATTGAGCCACCAAACGAATCGAGAGAAATCGTGTGGCTGCCACTAAGCTTCTAGTGGCGGCTACTAAGGCTTTATGGCAACCACTCGATGTGCGCTTTCTCAAAAACGAACTTTCCGTAGCCCATTTCTTAACGAAGTAACAATTATTGATTTGTTATGGAATCCTTAGCTCTATAAATCTGCATCTTCAACTAAAATGGTTACGGATCCTCATTGGCTCTTTATTTTTAATATTGTCAAGAACCCAATTAAATATTTTGTGCTTTCTCGGATAACGTATATATAGCTTATCTATCGGTTTATTATCAGGTACGGGAAGAAAGAAAAATTGAAGAAAAACGTAAGAAGAAAACTGGTGCCTTCGCCACGCCCGGGCGGCGCGGACGCGTCGACGATCTACGACGTCAAACGCTCATGAATATCAGCAACTCCAGCGCTTCTTCGCGAGCGCAACGAGCCAACAGTGTTGCATCCAATAAAGGACCTTCGGTGAGATACTCCGATTCCCCAATAACTTCAGACTTGTGTTCGTACAATAAATAATTTAAAATGTCGACTCGTCTACTAGGAGCATAAAGTGAGTTCTTTGCTCGTTTCGGGCTCTCCGTTAACCCACATCTTTCTAACCAATTTTAATTTCGTGCATCATGCATGGACGTTATTGAATTTATTTGTTGCTTTAAACCTCATTCGAAACTTCTATCAATCACTCTTCCTTTTCCAGTACACACCTTTAGTCTCCTTTAATTCTATATATCATTCTTTGTTTTTGTTTCTTATTCCCACATAGACAAACACTACTATGACGGAAGAGGAGAGTGGCTTAGAAGGCGCAGTCGCCGACGACGCAGACGCCGAGTACGTGCGTGGCGTGTGCGAACGGGACATAGTGGGCGCGGGCACGGCGCTGTCTCGCTACTGCGCGCTACTGCGTTGGCTGCTGTCCAATCCGGCCCGCTGCCCGCCGCCGCTGCAAGCCGCCGCCGCACTCACATTCACCAGGTACAGTATGCGCGTGCGAGCGGGACATAGTGGGCGCTGGCTCGCTACTGCGCTGGCTGCTGTCTAACCCGACCCGCTGCCCGCCGCCGCTGTAAGCCGCCGCCGCACTCACATTCACCAGGTACAGTATGCGCGTGCGAGCGCGACATAGTGGGCGCCGGCTCTCTACTGCGCTGGCTGCTGTCCAACCCGGCCCGCTGCCCGCCGCCGCTGTAAGCCGCCGCTGCACTCACATTCACCAGGTACAGTACGCGCGTGCGAGCGGGACATAGTTGGCGCTGACTCGCTACTGCCCTGGCTGCTGCTCCAACCCGGTTTTACTCCGATATAGAAGCGAATCTATTTCGATTTAACATTTTTTTTAAACTGGTAGTAACATTATTTTATTTACTTTCATAGGTTTATGTTGGTATCAAGTTCGATGTGCGACGAAGGTCTACAATTAATGGTGACTGTCCTAAAACGATCAAAAAATGTTTCCCTACGGACCAATCTCACCATTGCTTTCGCGGATCTGACGCTGCGTTTCCCCAATCTCACTCAACCCTGGACTCATCATATTTACCATATGTAAGTAAAATAACGATAAAGATGTTTTTTCTAGTGAAAGTAAAGAAATTAATATTAAATTATTGTGTTTTAACTATTGATTTATTTTACAACCTTATAACAAGTAATCGCTTCTCTACATCTGAAATGGCGAAGCAAGATATCCTGTCCAGCAATGATGTACGAGAGGGGCAGACTGTCTCGAGACACCTTTTCAGATTCCTAATTAACGCGGGTAATACAAAGTGCAGCCTTTTCATTGAACCTTTGATTTCCAGCCTAAGTGATGAAGAACTAGAAGTACGTCAATGCGCAGTGAAAATGCTCTCATTCCTCGTTCTACACGAGATGGTGCGCGTGAAAGGACAAATCGCTGATATGGCGCTCTGTTGTGCAGATAAAGACCCCAGAGTTGCCAGTATGACAAAACTGTTCTTCAAACAGCTTTCGCAGAAAGGCAACGCTTTATATAACGTGATGCCCGACATTATATCCAGACTCAGCGACCCGGAGTTGAACGTGCCGGAGGAACAGTACAGAGTTATCATGAAGTGAGTACATATTGCTTTGCTCGTTTGCTTCGACGAAATCGAATGATGATCGCGTATGTAAATTCTAATAAGATGCTGCTATAGTGTTCTTTCCTTATTGGGATTGAACTCAAGCTACTATATCGCCTCTGAATATGAAGACTTAAAAACTTTTACAAATAGTTATTGACATTAATATACAATAAGTTCTGAACAACTAGGCTATTTGACAGTATGAAAAAGAAAGTACCACAAGACATCGGTTTTTAATATGAATATTAGTAGTGATTTAACTATTCTGCGAGAGCAATTAATAACTTTATATTGTTATATTTTTTAAGCATTTAACTGGTAGATGTTTAAATCTAAAGAAAATTTTGTTAGAAACATTTCCACGCGGACCAGGCAGCAGACGGGATTCGAACCCGCACCCTTCGCTATCCGGGTGAATGCACTGAGCATAATGCTCGTAGATTTTTTTCTAACAAAATTTTCTTTACTTTATATGGTTTAAAAACTTTCATGGTCACTAACATTATAATAATTAATATTATTTACGGGATTGTTAAACTCGTTAAAAACAAGGTACATGGTTACAATCCCGTAAATAACATAAATTACTATAATTTATAACTTTCCTCAAAATCATTAAATAGATATGATTTTTGGTCGCGTAACCAAACCCTTGGGATGGAAGAAGACTAAAATGACGTCACACACTAATAAACTTCCGGTCAAAGTGAAATTACATTATATCGTTTGACATTTTAATGACAGTCGTGTGACGTCATACCATTGAGACGCCATAATGTACAAAGAAGTCGTCACTTTGAAATCTTACATCAAGTTTAAATGAACTTTAACTTTCAGGTATATAACATCTCTCATTCAGAAAGATAGGCAAATGGAAGCGTTAATAGAAAAATTATGTCAACGCTTCAAATTGTCCACTGAGGAGCGACAGTGGCGCGACCTCGCTTACTGTCTGTCGTTGTTTAGCTACAATGAGAGATCGTTAAAAAAACTCATTGAAAATCTAGACTGTTATAAGGACAAACTGCATTGCGCCGGCGTCATGGAATCCTTCACCACGCTCATGAACAACACTTCCAAAATGGCTAAGAATGAGATAAAGGTACGTTCTCACAAGAACGATTTATCTATTTCATATATTTTGAATTATCTGGATAAAAGAAAGCACAACAAATAACTTCAACTTTATAAACTTCAGGAATGTTTGCTGTCGAAAATAAATCAACAGCATCTTCTTTAATCAAACATGATAATTGACGTCTTTGATTGCGACCGTTAAATTACTTTATTTTCACTGACCAAACTTCTTTCAGACTTTAGTAACTGAGCTAGGCGACAAGATAGAGGAGTGTTTCGCCGTCCGCGACGGTGAAGAGCAGGAGGGCGTGGATGAGCCGCGCGCGGGCCAACCGCCAGCGGTCCGACCGCCCGCTGCCGCCGCTACTCCGCGCCGCAAACAAGCCGGGCGGAGAGCTAACCGACGCCGCAACTCCGACACTAGTCCTGACGAGGTTAGTAACAGACTGTATTGACCGAGCTAGGTGACAAGAGCTGGAGGGCGATTATGAGCCGCGCGTCTCAACTGCTGCGGTCCGACCGTCCGCCGCCGCCACCGCAAGCAAGCCGTGCAGCGGGCTAACCGACGTCGCAACTCCAACACTGGTCCAGACGAGGTTAGTTACAGACTTTAGGGCTAGTAGCGAGATAAGTTATAAACTCTTGTTGCGGTTAGAATATAAAAATAAGATTTTGCTTCAAATGATTAAGTCCAAACTAATATAAAAACTTTATTGCTGAATATGTAATCTACTGATAATGATTGAAATGAATGCACCCGGTGCCGACAACGTTTGACTGTGCACTAATTTAAATCTCTTTATTGAATGTTCACGCGTTTGGTGTCGCGTTCTAGTTATCTATGTCAAAGACGGTGTTCGGTTAACATGAAATATACCGAACGCTCTAATGACAGAGCTAGGCGACAAGAGCCGAAAGGTGATAATGAGACTGATAATAAAAATCACATTTCAACGTAAATTATTTACTTTATCAATACCCTTCAATTAAGTTGTTATAATGTGTTTAAAGTTTTAGGTATTCCAAGTGTCACATTTTTGTTATTATGATTTTTTATGCGTATATAACTCGACACATTGAAAGAACTTTTTATGGTTTGTTTACCTTTTGTCTCAGAGGAAGTTGAATAGAGTATAGTATATGCGCCTAAAAATTTTTCCTAAATCCACTCATATTACTTTTGCTTTTTATTTATTTATTTATTTATTTATTAACATCAACAAGATTAACACCAACTCATTATAAAGCAACTTACAAACAATGTGGAAGCGAACTAAGTGCAATCTTAATTATAGATGTTACACAATAGCACTGATAAGCAAAAATATCGCATAACAAAATCACACTATTTAAAAATCTTCTATTGATGTGAAATAGTAGTAAAATATAAAAAAAAAAAATATACTAAAATTAAAAACATTTCATTAAAATTATATCATTATTCGGTAAAATGTCACAAAATATTGTAAATTAATGGAAATTGATGTTATAATAATCAAAATTAAACATAATAAACATTTACATTTACAGTCACCAGCAAATACCTACGTCAAATCTAGTATTTTTTTTACATTATTTTGGAAATATTTAAGAGAATTAGAGAAAATGTCGACATCAATTAATTGTGGATCATGCTCATGAGCATGCTGTGGTAATCCACATTTGATTCTACTAGAATGATTTTGAGCAATGCTTCTGTGCAAGCCATTGTAAGCTATCATCAACCTATTCAGCGGTGAGTAGCGACCATGGCGCGAACGAGAGAGTCTCTCCATAAAGGGTGCATAAGTCGTAAGCCTAGGGAGTCGCGACGGTATGCGAAAGTTGATTTTAGATAAAAGGTCAGGTGTGTCAAAGATGCCGTTCACTAGCTTGTACAGAAACATATGATCCAACAAACGTCTGCGACACTCCAGTGACTGCAAATTGAAGTGGCGAAGCCTGTCGACATAATTAGGCAGTTTTTTCGCCATGTTGCATCCAAACGACAAATGCCATAAAAATCGCTTCTGGACACGTTCAATTCTTTTGACATAGATATCGTAATTGGGGTTCCATACTATACTAGAATATTCAAGGTTACTGCGAACTAAGGCCGTGTATATGGTGACTTTTGTTTTAGGGTTCGTGAATTGTCTACAGTTTCTTAACACAAAACCGAGAATCTTAAAACTTTTTTTTACGATATCATCGATGTGAATATGAAAGCGGAGTTTAGTATCCAAAGTAACACCTAAGTCACGGACCTGGCTAACCTCCGAGAGTACGTTACCATTAATTCTGTAAGATCTGTCGAGTATTTGTTTCTTTCTTGTGAATCTGACCACAAAACACTTCTCCTCATTAAGATCCATGCCATTCCTCTTAGACCAAGCTACCAAGCTATCAATATCAAACTGCAACAGAGCAACATCTGCACTCACGTTAACGGGCCTGCAAAGCTTAAGATCGTCAGCATATAAATAGGACTTTGAAAAACGGAAACATGACTGAATGTCGTTAATCATGATATTAAAGAATAGAGGGCCCAAATGTGATCCTTGAGGAACACCTGATAACATTGCATAGGAAGCCGATGTGTATCCGTTGAGCACTATCGATGATCTACGGTTTTCCAGGTACGACCTGCACCATGCCAAAAGAGTTCCCGATACCCCAGCCGCTTCCAGCTTTGCGATGAGAACAGCGTGATTTACCCTGTCGAAGGCCTTACTGAAGTCTGTATATATTGTGTCAATAGAGTCGCCTTGATCAAGAGACTCAGTAAGGTCCTCGACAAAGGAAACAAGATTAGTAGTGGTGGACTTACGCTCAACAAAGCCATGCTGCTGATCGGTGATAGTATGTTTAAAAATACAGGAGATTACGGGGTAAACGAGAGATTCCAGAACCTTTGCAAACACGGGTAATATTGAAATTGGTCGATAGCTCTTAACTGAGGACCTGTTACCGTTCTTGTAGAGTGGTAGGACGTACGATATCTTCCATGCCTGGGGAAAAACCCCTTCTAAAAGGGATTTGTTGAAAATTAATGTAAGGGGAGAAGCTAAACTTTTAGCGCAATTTGAAACAAACAAGGCAGGAATACCGTCCGTCCCAGCGCCTTTAGTAGGGTCAAGTCTCTTTAAAGCCTTATACACTTCATCCGTAGAGAATTCCAGAGAGCCAGCATGGTGACCAGACCATGTGTGTACTGAAACATGAGGTTCCAAGCCAGTATCAGAAAATACAGATGCAAAGTAGTCAGCGAAGAGATTGCAAATTTCCGGCCCATTGGATGCAGCTCTGGAATCATTGGTCATTTTAGCAGGAACAGAAGTTCTGTTCCCTTTCCGCTTGTTTTTAATGAAAGTCCATAGGAGCTTCGGATTTGATTTTAAAGAATCCTCCATGCAAGCCAAATACCTAGCGTAAGAGGAGGACAAAAGGGATTCGCATCTTTTTCTGAGCAGCTTGAATGTTAAAATATCACGGGGATTACTGTTGAATTTACGAATTCTTATGCGATATCTGTTTTTCTCCTTGAGTGATCTTATCAAAGACGGCGTAAACCAACAAGGGTATTTACTGCTGCGTGGCCTGGATTTGGGAACGTACTTCACAATCAAACCTCTCAGTATATTGTAAAAGACTTCTAACATCGCATCAACCGACATGCAACTACAAAACAACTCACTCCAGCACAAACTGTTCAATTCATTAGTAATATTCGAGTAATCGGCCTTGTAAAAACGATATTTGGCTTCAATATTTGGTGTTAAAGTCATTTCATATTCGTACAATAAAGAAAAAATCATTGGAGGGTGCAGCACGTCCACCGTTGATAAGGGGTCAGAATTGGGTATGACATTATTCACGGTTACATTGCAAAGGATCAAATCTAAAATTTTATTTTTATTATTGGTTATGTGATTATATTGATTTAAGTCGTTCAACGACATAAAGTCGATTAGCATATTGTGCAGGTCACTGTTAGTACAACCACTAGGAACGAGATAAGCATGTGTACTTGCATTCCACAACAAACTACTCAAGTTGAAGTCACCCACAATCAGTGCATCACCCTCTCGTGCTTCCAACACACTGTTACAATTATCTACAAAATGCTTAAGAAGATGCTTTTGAATCGGCGGTGGTAGGTATACACCACAGATATTTAATTTCACGGGGTTCACACCGTTGCCACCCACACACACCCATAAGTCTTCGCAGTCAGATTCACATTCATGAAGCCGTACTGAATTGATGCGTTTATTGACTGCAATTAAGACACCTCCACCATCTTTAGACGAATGGAATCCACTGCTCTGACGGTCACGTCTGTACACATTGTATCTATTGTCAAAGATTTCGGAGTCCAGAACGCTATCATTCAACCAAGTTTCAGTTAAAATTACGACATCATATGAATTACACAGTATGTTATTGAATATATCGACAGTCTTCGTCCGCAAACCCCTTACATTTTGGTAATACACTGTTAAAACATTTTTCGTGTCCCTAAGTAAAACAAAACAACCTTAGCGCTATGACAAATTTTTGAGAGTCTCGTGATTACGAATATGAACATAGTTGGATTCGTCATCCTTTCGCACAAATATCTTGCCATCTCGCACCCAACAAAACTTATATTTTAGCTCCTTGACAATGCGACGCGTTGCCGCGTGTAGTAATTTTGTTTCTGGAGTTAAATGCTCTGTCACATAAACCGGAAGCTTTTTGTTGCCGCCGATACCCAAGTGACTAGTGTTAAGCTTTTCCTCGGGATTATTCTTGTTGTAAGTCGAAGCAGCTGCCAAAAACTGGTCTCGCATCCGTGGACTGTTGAACTTCACGAGTATGGATCGTGGACGTGGGCTTTTGTTGTCCATTTTAGCAAGTCTAGCACAAAAATGAATATTGCCGTCCGTGATAGGGCACTTGATCACCTTAGCGAGCTGCAGTGCCGTGGAAATCAAATTTTCTTGCTTATTTTCAGGAACACATTGTATTTCTATGTTAGTTGCTCGGGTCTGCACCTCCAGCTGCGCAAGTTTAGAGGAGATAATTTGATTGGCAGTCCGTAATGATTGGTTTTCCTTGCTGATATCACTCAGAGTGGTCGACTGGGCAATGTGTTGTGTGCGTATTCCTTCCAAATCCTCGTTGAACGCGGATAAAGATACCTCAAAGTTTGCAATCATTTTCTGTAATTCGTGAATTTTTGGGTTAATTACTCCCACAAATGCGCTATGTATCTCTTCTCTTATTATTGTGCGTATGTCTTCGGCTGACAAAGGAGATCCTTCGGCGGATGCAGGTCGACTCGATTTTGCGCGCTGGGTAACGAAGCTATTATCAGGAGTCGTGGATAGCTTAGTTCTCAGTGGTGTATTAGAGTTATCACCCTTTTTTGGTTCTCGGCTGCGACAAAAATCACAAACCCAGGCCCTTTTAAACTCCACCGTCATTACTTTATAATCTGCTAGCGAGAATGTAGTACATTGCAGATGATAATTATCCCCACAGCGTTTACATTGCATTGATATTCCTTCATCCATGAGATTAGGGCACCCCGCGCATTTGAAAGAGCCATCGGTAGACATGTTGACAGGATCAGTATTTAAACTTGTTATTTAAAAAAAAAAAAAAAGTAATTTAAATTAAATATGAAAGTCCGTGAAAAGTAAAAATAATTAAAAAGAAATAAAAAAATAAAAAAAAGAAATCTGGTGCGTAGGTTTCGAACTCGAGCTCACTCTGTTAGAACGCTTTATAGTACGAAGTGCTATCCACTGGGCCAATGTTTCAATAGTACTCACAACGAAAACATGGATCACATGTCCCTACCCAATCTGCGGTTTTTGTGGATGTGGTTGTTTGTAGAATTACTTTTTGTACCCCTACCTCAGTTTAGAAACAGTTCACTTTTGTTTATTATTTTCGTTGTAACACCTAAGTAACACTTTGGTTAGAGTTTTGACACACTTGTTCGCATATGTTTAAGATGTTTCGTTCGAGGTTTGTTTGTTTGTATCACTGTACTGAACAATTTAAGCTTAAAGCACTAATGAACTTCGCGCACTAATTAAACCCAATTTGAGTTATAGTGGCTTCCTGCAAACAATAGCCCATGAGAATCACCAAGTAAGCTTTTGATTTATGTTGATTTTATAACGAGTCACAATCAATATACTTTGGAATACAATTTTTAGTGCCGCGGCGATTTTTACTTGACAGGTGCGTCATATGTCATTCTTATTACATATAGTATAGAAAAGTGTTTGATAAGTCTATGTTAAATTAAACTTTGCAATGGTTTTTTATATTAAATACTTGGATAGACCGATGGAAGCTAATACAACATATTATTTCCAGAATGAACCACCCAATAATGTTGACACTCCACAGTCCGTGAGAAAATCATCTCGTAGAAGAGTGAACAGGGTTGCAGCAAACGATTCTGATGAGTCAGGTACCTATTTAAAGCTTTTATAGCAAGTTTTATATGAATATCTATTGTGGTTCGATTTTGCTAGAATCAATTATAGAAAACAAATATTTAAAATCGCGTACAAATAATTATCCCCTATATTTAAGTTAAAGTGGGTTAACCCTCTATGCAAGTATTTTTTTCTGACAAAAAGTATTAAAACCCTTGTCTATCATCAATGTTCCATTTTATCGCCATCCAAAAATTCATCAAAATTCGTTGAGTGACTTAGGCAACAAAACATTACAAGCAAATAGACAGACAGAAGTTACTTTACCTATCATAATATTATTATTATAGACTTAAGTTTAGGTCTTCACTGTGGGTGATTGGCGACTTTTTTTTCATTTCTTCAAAAAAAATGCTTAAATTGCATTAAGGTTGAAACAATTGAAATGATATTGTTTGATATAATAATTTATTGATTAAAGTGTATGATAATAGTTATTTATGCATCTGTTGTATAATGAGGGTTATTAAAACACATCTTTTTTTATTAGATGAGGAGGAGGAACAAAACAAAGATGAAGATGATGTGTTTAAAAAGCCTCCAGCACGTAAAACTACCCGTAAGAGAAAATAATATCATATTTCGACTATCGTCTTTGTTACAAAAATGTAATTGGAAAATGAAAGAAAAGTAAAGACGATTTTACAAAATTCGGAGCTTTAATTACATTTCTTCGAGGTGTTCGCATTCATTGATATAAGGAGAAGATGTTGATATAAAGACAAAATCTCTTTCCAGGTAATAAATTATGTGTGTGTCAAATTTCAACTAAATCCGTTCAGCCGTTTTTGCGTGATTGAGTAATGCTAGCCCGTCACAGTCTCTCCTTTTCATTCCTTATAAAGCATGATAAGGCCAGACATGGCAAATACGAATACGATATGCAAATGTACAATCTTTCACATTTATAGGATTATCTAGCCACGAGATATTCCAAAAATAGAAAATGGTGTTGTCAAAATTATCATGTCTGTGATAAGAATTACAAATAACAATCATGACATGACATGACATAAATATATTGAATTGAATTGAAACAACCTGTAAGTAATGCGACACTGCCCTCTTACGTATTCTTAAAATATATACTTACATCCGCGCGACACTTACACTGCTTTTACCTGTGCTAATGTATTAATAACTTTTTTTAACACACATCGATTTGCCTAGCCGCAAAGTAAGCACTATAAGGCTTGTTTAAGGGATACTAAGGTAACGGATAGAATACATATACTGTACATATATAAGTATATTTATATAGAAAAACTTTAAACATCCATGACTGGAGTACAAATGCTCTTATTCATCACATCACAAACATCTGCCCCACCGGGATTCGAACCCAGGACCCCTCGAGTCGGCGACACCATGAAACCCGGCGTACAAACCACTTGGCCACGGAGGTCGTCAACACATTTAGGTACAGTTGCAGAATGAAAAGGTTCGTCGTTGATTTTGATTTTCAATTTATGCCACATCATTAGAAGCTGTGTTATGAGAACGAGATAAATGGCCTCTGTGACTATATCCACAGAACACAGAAAGAGGTTAGAAGGGTGATAAGCGATCGCCAGTATGAGAACCGATGTCGCCGGCTCAGCCCCACTACACTTCCACCTAATAGATAATAAGCCAATCAAACGACGCGACATCAAGCAACCGAACGAATCAGCGCTCACAGCCGTGACTGTGAGCGTTCATTCGTTCACACCGATTGTGAAGGAAATTTCGATAGCTTAAAAGGAGATAAACATCAAGCAGTTACATGCTTTAAAAAAAAGTATAACTATAATTGCAATTTCCTCTTTCAAATGTTTAATACTTGTAAAAGTATTCATTAAACATTGTGGGTTACCAACAATGCGAAGAGATGACGCTGCCTTGCAGCTTAAGAGTGGCTAGAAGAATTTCGACGCGGCCATTACATGCTTAAAAACAAAAAAATATGTATTGTTAATATCAAACTTATTGATTTTTAAAATGTATTAATTTTGAGTAAATGTGTCTTATGCATTCAAAAAAACAAAAAACCATTATATCGATATTATTTTTTCAATTTTATTTCCCATCACTTAAAAGTCGTAAATAAATAGTCTCGCTACACTCAAGTTATATAATTTTTATTTCGAATCTTAAATGCGGGGCCTAAGGTCGAAACTTGATAATTAAAAAATGTAGTCTCATGGGGAGTGCGTTTGCAAGTCTCGTGGGGAGCATGCAATAGAGACTATATTCGCCAATAAATAGTTAAGGTCACTAAAATGGACTCTATTTTTTAAGTATAAGGTATAAAATCATATGAATATGTTTCGGCACATATTCGAATTGGATCTCACTCGATTACTTGCAAGTTTCTATTCTCGATTATTGTAAAATTCATTTTTAATTGAAAAAAGCACTAAAATATAGAAAAAACACTTACATGTGAAATTATATCCAGTTTTTTTTGTTAATTAGAGGTGTTTGATCTTTTTTTGCACGTTAAAACGGCACAGGTTAGCATTTTTTGCGAGGAGACACGGGCTGTTGTTACTACGATAACGATTCTCCCACTGTGGAAATCTATCGATTGTAAGTAGTTTTTATTAACGCACAGGATCATTTGATCTTATACCTTGACAGAGGGGATAGATCTTGCGAGGCTAGTCCTGTGGTTTAATGGTCTAAGGTATAAGGTGCAACTTGATAGAAGGGTTCTGGCTTGTCCATCGACCTTTAGTTTGGATATCGATGCCATAGATTACACACCCATATTTTATCGACATTTTCAGCTATAAATTATGCTTTTTGGGATCCCTACAAAGTGTGTAATTTTATGCAAGGGTAAGGGCATGCTTACGTTTTTTTCGTTCAGGCTAAAACAGCAGTTCCATATTTATACTTTGTATTCGTTCGCGATTAATTGATACGAAAATGTGAATAAAAAAAACAAAAGAAATGCAAAGAAAGAAAAGTGAACAGTGTTGCCATAAGTGATTTTCGTCAGAATGAATTTTTTTTTCCCTTTTTTTAGAAAAGGTAGTTACAAGGTAGTTAAGTATCACACATTTTGTCCAAAAACAGGCCAAAGCTTGATTTAACACATAAATAGCGGGTTGGGCATAAGATTGTGAAAAAAACGAAACAAACTTGGATAAGCGAGTGTGTATGTGTATATATATGTGTGTGTGTCGTGTGAGGCGGGTCGTTACGTTCCCTAAAAAATGGTTGAGCGAAGCGATGGCTGGTTCATGCGTCATGCTCGTGAACGGGTGCTGCCAGCGGAGATGAGTCTGCTCTTGCTACATTGGGTACTATTAATAACACAAGTTTACAAAATTTTACATTTTATTTATACCCCGAACCGAATGTATGTCAATATGTTAATCTACCTTCCCTAAACCTAAAAGTGTTAGCAGAAATATTTTATCACGTCGGAATTTTTTTCTGCAGTCAAATGTTTTTTTTTAACTACCCGACGTGGTGGTGATAATTTATTGTTTATTCGTTCGCTTCAAACGACAGTTACTTTGCTTTGGATTAATTTAAAATGGCTAGCAGAAAGTGCAAACAAAGTTCTGACCGTTTTTGTTATGTTTGTGGACAGTTTATATTTTCAAAAAAGAGAAGACCTATTGTAGATTCGTTAAAAACTGCATATCTTCATTATTTTGGATTTCCTGTTGCAAATCAAGATAAAAAGTGGGTGCCTCACGTGTTTTGCGAAAGCTGTAGAATCATCTTACTCCAGTGGTCATCAGGAGAAAAAGTTTACCTTCCATTTGGTTCGCCAATGCTATGGAGAGAACCTAGTAATCATGAAAATGATTGTTACTTTTGTGTTACGAAGACATTAGGATATAACAAAAAAAATAAGGCAAGTATTATGTATGCCGATGTTCCGTCTGTTACTAAGCCGATTTTACATTCAAAAGATCTACCCCATCCAGTTTGTCCCGGTAGTTCGAGTGCAAATATATTAGATGACAATAACAGTGATGTTGAATTCAAGTCAATTTTTTGGGAAATAAAAAAAGTGAAAATTATGAAGAAATTGTCAACAATTTATTGAAAAACTTTCATGATATGGGAGTAAACATGTCATTAAAGATTCACTTTCTACACTCTCATCTGATTTTTTTCCTGAAAACTTAGGAAGTATGAGTGACGAACAGGGTGAACGTTTCCACCAAGATTTAAGGACTTTCGAAGAACGACATCAAGGATTTTGGGATGAAAATATGTTAGGGGATTACTGTTGGTCTATCATAAGAGAAATTGATTCAAATAACTATAAAAAGAAAGCAAAAATTTGTCATTTTTAATTTATTTTTGTATTAATCCTAAAATTTTTGTACCCTTCAAGATAATAAATATTTTTTAAACCAGACGTGACAGAATTTTTTTATTATTTTTTCTGGATAGTTCTACCTGAACACAAAATAAAATAATAACTTTCAGCTGGGGTAAGAAAACCGTGTAAACTAGTGTAATTGTATTTAACTTTAATGGTACATTTGTTTTTATGCCTAAACAGTGGGACACGGCATTCCTAAACTTTTTTTATTTTTAAATCTGTTTTTTATATTTTTTTATTTTATAGTCATAATTATTTTATCATTTACATTTGTAATGGAAAGTGACTTCATGGGTTATCTCATATTGAACTCATTTTTCAAATTGACGACTCTGTATATAATACAGGGAGAAAAAAACAGCCCTTGCTGAGTTTCTTGCCGGTTCTTCTCAGTACAAGGTCTCCCGCCGTAGATTTGCGAACCGATGGCGTAGCTTTTCGACATTCACAAGTGCTTGTAACAGCCTAGACTGAATAAACGATATTGAATTTTGAATTTTTTGAATTTTGTACGAGGCAGACCATTAAGCTCGAAGAGGATAATATTGACAACCATATTTTTTTTATAAATATTAACAGACTCGGACTCATATCAAAAATTTATCAAGTTCAATTTATAATTGCCCACTATTTCTCCAAAATGGCGTATAAATATCCCAATATAGCATAGGGCAACTGAAAAATGACGTCACAAATCACAACGCAAATAAAAAACCGGGGAGTTTTCGGCGGGATTTCATCGAGTGCGATGGCGTCTTATTTTAATTATTCTGAAATTCGTTCATAGTGGAGATTGTGAAATAAAATTGGTGTGATTTTGTGCTACAACCATCTGCGCAAGTGAAGAATTAGTGAAATCTTTAAAATATACGTTATACTGGTCAAGTGGACGTGAGAACTTTATTGTAGTGTTGACTACCTCACAGAAGCTTATCGAAAAAGCCAACTCGATACATTTCGTGCCAAACATTCGTAAAAAATATTAGAATGCGTCACAACGACATTCTAATGTAAAAAAAAGATAAAAACTGAAAACTAAGCTGTATAGGCATCATCCCTTTGCTTTCCCTAAAAAAAGGGAGAATTAAAAAAAACATAGTGAACCGACTCCGACTAAGGGTGCGGCCAGAGTGCACTCAGATTCAGATTTCGAAAACAAGCGCGAGAAATAAACAGTGTAGTCTAAGCAGGTTGCTTGCTTTTTCTCGCGCTTGGTTTTGGATTGGATTGGTTGTTT